CCAATGCTACCATCCCAGCCCAAGACATCGCCATGTCTTACCTGGACAAGTTCATGGCAACCAAGTCCTAACTCTCACCTAACTACAGTGACACTGGCCTTTATGACCTTTAGAAAACCCAAGATCATTCTAGACCATTCTGTGGATTGCAACCACTGTTTGCTCCGCTTGGAGAACTCTCCCCAGTTCTCAAAGTTTACCTTGTATCATTTGGGTCTCCAGTGTCTTCCCAGGGCTGGCTACCTACTGCCACTTCCCTCTCTACAATTAGGGCTACTTCCTGGTTCAATTCCCAGTTTTGTTTTCTGCATAGCTGTTAACACCACCTGGGTTTATCTTGTTCCTTCCTTTGCTTGTTCTTAATTGTTTTTATAACCATTCACCTTCATTAAAATTAATGGTGAAGTGAGCAAATCTGCTGTCCAATGCGAATTCTCAACATCTAAAGCTGAGTTGGGCAAACAGTCGGTGCTCCATAAATATTTACTTAGTTTGACTGTAAAGGAATGGAAGGAATAAAAAGTTTTTTCTAATGAACTCGTTCCAAGGATTCTATTTCCTTCCAACCTCCAATGACCTGCTTCCTTATATACATCTAATAAAGAAGAACCCTGTTAGGGGTGACCGTCTTCAAGCGAAAGGCAATAAGAATCCAGCCCTTGAAAATCACCTCTGCTCAGACTTAACAGGGCTCTTTCAGGCTTATGCAAATGTATGCAAATCACACGCAAATGGCCCCCTCGTCCCTGTGACTCCTTCTAGTACCTGGAAGAGACCCTTGGGATCACCCTGCTGGAGACAGGAGCCTGCGCTGTCAGGAAGACAGACAAAATGATCCCAGTTTTAATTTCTCAGGCAGTTTGTGTACGTCCCCAGGCCTTCCAAATTCAGAGATTTTGATCAAGGACATTAAACTGAACAATGAGGCTTACAACAAGAGAACAGCTGATAAAGCCCACTGCTCCCAGCCTCCCAGGGCCCCCCATACAACAACGCAATGGATCAGAGACCCGACATGTGGGGGGGTCTCACTCCATGTTAGACACTGGAGCTGTTTAGAGAGACCCCTGTGTGGTCTGGCCTCAAGGGGCTGTATCCAAATCAGTGCTCTCCTCCTCAGATTTAGCTTCTCAAAAGTCAGCTGCCAGCCTTCTGTAGAAAATGCTGGCCAAAATCCCCAGTGTTAACCACAGCAATATTAAAAGACAGGTCTGAATGGGCACACACAAAAATCTGCACATGCCTTCTCTAGGGCTTTGCTGAGTTGGCTATCCAAGAAACACATTCAAGAAAGCACCTGTAAATACCCAACAGGGGTTTCCAAAAAAGTGTACCACTGCTTTCTAAAGACACATACCGACGATGCCAGGGACCCGGGAATTGAAATGGTGCGGGAGGCAATGCCCCAAGATGAAAAGTCAGGTGCCCTTTATGCCTGGTTCACTCGGCAATTTTTTTTCAATACATATTCATTGTCAACATTTAGATTTCATCTGAAATACAGGATTTCTGCTTCTCTTCAAACATGAGTAGAAATGACATCTTCAGATGAGGAATCTACATGAACCGATCTGCTGGGGGTGACCAGGGACCCCCGCCCCA